AAAACCCTCCCTGATTTGATTGCAGTCTAATTTTCAGCTTTGATTTCCCAACAGCCCACATGCGTAGAATGCTGCAGATATAGGGTCCACTCTGTATTTCCAGAAATACCGTCTTCCCTGAACTTTTTGCCTTTTTCCCTAGGGCCTTTTTGAGATTTAAGTCTGGGCTCAATTATCAAGTACCATGTGAAATCTCTGATCCTTCCAGACAGAATCAACCCCCTCCCTTCCATCTTCCATTCTCCCTTCCTTCTTCCTTCCTTCCTTCCTTCCTTCCATTTCTTCCTTCCCTACTTCCTTTTCTTCCTTCCTTATTCTCTTCCTTATTTTCTTTTTCTTTAGAATGCTTTCTTCCTCTATGCTTCTAGCTATTCATACTGTGATGTGAGACTTAATATAATTTTGCCTCTAATCTTTTACTTGATAATCTTCCCTCTATAGCATTCAGAGGTATATCATTCAGAGTCCTTGGGGAAAACAGATTGCATCTTTAAATATAATGCAATATAACGTTAAAAAATGTAACAAAAGAGCTGTTCATACTTCCATAAAGTGTGGATAGGGTTAAAGAATATCAGCAAGAGAGGTGAAACATTGAGTCTGGCCTCAGTGAGGAACACTAGAAGTAGTAACCCCTAGGCCTGAAGGGGCCAGGGAAGGAAGGGTTACAAGAACCCAGAGAGATCTGTAAGTTGCTGTCATTTAAGGAAAGGGCCACCCAACAGGGTCTGTGGCCTCTGGCAACCACATGAGTGAGTCCAGGAGACACAACAGAAGAGTTGCCAGTTCAACCCACGGAGTCAGGAGAAATTATATATATATATATATATATATATATATATATATATATATTTTTTTAAACCATCAAGGTTTTGTCATCGTTGTTGTTGTTTTTAAGTAACCTCTATGCCCAGCTGGGGCTTAAACTCATGATCCTGAGTTTGCATGCTCTACAGATTGAGCCAGCCAAGTGTCCCTGGAAGCCATACTTTAAAATATATATAAATAAATAAACAAATAAATACATAATTTGAGGAAGAGAGTGAGAGAGAGACAGAGAGAGAGAGACAGAGAGAGAGAGAGCATGCATGATAAGAGGGAGGGGAAGAGGGAGACAAAAAGAGAGAAAGAATCTCCAGCAGACTCCCCACTGAGTGTGGAGCCTGACATGGGGCTTGATCCCAGGACCTTAAGATCATGACCTGAGGTGATCGTGGGTCCCTTTCTGAGGCCAGAGTAAGTGGCTCTTTGAAACAACTTTTGTAGATCTGGACTTTTTAAAGTATTAGACAGTTCCACAGTATACAAGAGTTGGTCACTTAACTGACTGAGCCACGCAGGTGCCCCAGAACCCATACTTTTGATACAAACATAGTAAAAATGTTTTCACTTCTCAAGGAGATACTTAAAACAGTTTTCTGGGAGTATTTAATCTTTATTTTGTCTCAGTTGTTTGAGACATAGCAAAATATATGATGCCATCCCTAGAAATTTTATTCCAGCCCACTTAACCTGCCATTAGGATAGTTTACTTTCCTTAGTTGATTCTATATTCGTGACCTGTGTATATCTGTGATCTTTACAAAGTAACCAATGATGCATTACTCTTTAAGGTGATTGATATTTAATAAACACATATCTTGGTCCTGAGGTGTGCAGGTCTTGTAGATTGGCTCCCTGAACATTTATTCCTAATCACCTTCTCTTAACCTTCCCTTATTATAGAGGTAGAAAAGAAAACGTTAAAATTTCCAGGCTCTCAGGGATCCCTGGGTGGCTCAGCGGTTAAGTGCCTGCCTTTGGCCCGGGGCATGATCCTGGGGACCCTGGATGGAGTCCCATGTCGGGCTCCCTGCGTGGAGCCTGCTTCTCCCTCTGCCTCTCTCTCCATGTTTCTCATGAATAAATAAATAAAATCTTAAAAAAAATTTTTCCAGGCTCTCTTGCAGCTTGAGATGGCCATATAATGTAGGTGAAAATCTGCAGTGAGATCTTCTCTCCTGTATAAAAAGAAAAAGCCAGGAGAGGAGGAAGCCCTTTGTCTTAGCCCGTTTCCTTTCTTCCTGATTGAAAGCAAAAGAATTTGAGGATGATTTAATAAAGAGAATATTTACAAAGGTGCGAACAGGGTGTAGGAAAACCACAGGGGTAAAGTAATACCCTAGGGTGAGTATCAGAGCAGCTGTTACCCATGTAGGCCTGAAGGGGAGGGAGCAACTAGAAAACAGAACAAGAGAGAGTGTGTATGGGTGTGTGTGTATGGGGGGTGATGTGAGGGTGCTAGGACCTTCAGTGGGGGTTACAGATACTCTCCCCACTCCATCTGAGCTTCTGTGAGGGTTTCCCTTAGACTGAATTCTGCTGGGATGCAGGCAGCAAGGTCTGCCTCCTGGAAACCAATCTGGGTGGAAAAGAATAGAGAGTTAATCTGGAAAGACAAAAAAAAAATAATAATCTGGAAAGACAAACAGCATAAAAGGCATCTCATTTATCTTTATACCCATACTGTGCTAACATGTGGTGAGAGTATCTGGTACAAAGTAGGAGATGAACAAATTTTTGTTGAATTTATTAAATCCAGTTTTTTGTTCTACCCTGTAGTGCTTAATACTCCATCTGAAATCTCCACCAAGCTCACTCAAGCCAAATAATTCAACATAAAATTGCTAATCTGCAAGGAACTTCCTTTACCCAGTTGAAAAGGCATCTGGGTCCCTTTCAGAGGCTAGAGTAAGTGGCTCTTTGAAACAATTTTTGTAGATTTGACTTTTTAAAGCATTAGATAGTTCCACAGTTATACAAAGCCTGTTCTCTTGGGACACCTGGGTGGCTCAGTGGTTGAGTGGTTGCCTTCAGCTGACGGCCTGATCCCAGGATCCAGGATCCAGTCCCACATTGGGCTCCCTGCATGAAGCCTGCTTCTCCTTCTGCCTATGTCTTGGCCTCACTCTCTCTGTGCCTCTCATGAATAAATAAATAAATCTTAAAAAAAAAAAAAGCCTCTCCTCTAGTACCATCTAACTTACCTGAGACTTCAACAGGCTCTTTCAGAAGAAATAACTTCTGTGTGCTATCTATATGGCTAAGCCTCAGCTTCCACATCTGTAAAATTAGGGTAGTAATAGCTACCCATCATCAAGTCTCAGGTACAAATGTCACCTCCTCAAGATATCATATAAAAGGAGTACCATACCCCATCACTCTCTAGCCCATTAATACCTTGTTATTCCCCCCTTGCAGTGATTACTTTTCTTTTTTATTATAGCTTATTTATTGTTTATTTGTAGATTATTGGTCTTCTCCCAAAAAAATATTTGCTCCTTATGAGCAAAGACCTTGTCTGTGTTTTTTATTGCTCTATTCCCAGCATCTAGAATGGACATGATTGTTGTTTGATAAATATTTGTTGATGAATGGATAAATAATACCAATTATCAACTTTAGGGCTGTTATGAATATTAAATGACATAATAATGAAATGCACCTGGCACAAAGTAGAACACCATAAATCTAGCTGTTGTTTTCTTTCTCCTTTTTCCCTCCCTCACCTCCTATATTCAGTCCTTTAGCAAGTCATTTTGACCTCAGCCTCAAAACATACCTGGAATTCTCTATCTACTTCATTCATCTCTACCAGCCTACTCCAGCCCCCTTTCCTTTTCACCTGGACTATAAGTAAGGCTCCTAGCTGATCTCCCAGCTTTTCCTCTTGCTCCCGTCTGCTTCATTCTTCACAACCAGAGTTTTTTTTTAACCAGGGAAATCCTTTATTTTTTAAAAGATTTTATTTATTTATTCATGAGAGACACACAGAGAAGGCAGAGACATAGGCCAATGGAGAAGCAGGCTCCCCACAGGAAGCTGGATGTGGAACTCCATCCCCAGCCCTGGGATACCACTGAGCCACCCAGGAGCCCATAAACCGGGGAAGCCTTTCGGAAACACAATTCAGATATTCAAATCATCCGCTGCTTTTTGGATACCCAAACTTTGCATGGCCTGTCCCTCTGCCATCATCTTAGACTTGATCTGCTTTAGGCTGACATAAACTCTTCTCTCCTTCTCTTTCTCCTAGAATTTAACAAATCTATTTTCATCGCAGCACGCATAGCCCTGATGGATTCTTCGGCCAGCATTTAGTTCTAGCTAGCTCCTTTCTGTCTTTCAGACCTCAGTTTAAATAGGGATTCCTTTGAGAGGAAGTATTACTCAATCTAATGCGGTCATTTCTTATTTTACCACATTTTATAGCGCTCAATACTATCTAATATTTCCTCGTTTATATGTTCGTCTCTTCTAACTACGTTTTAAGCTTTGTGAGCACAGAGACCTTGTCTGTCGCGTTCGTTGCTCTATCCCCTAAACTGGAACAATGCCTGCAGCATACAGCACCTGCATGATAAATATTTGTTGAATAAATGAATGCATTGATTATGATGATGGTAACCAAACTTCAGACGACCTGGCCAAACATTTCTGACGACTTCCTCACGAATAACAATCGCATTTCCGAAGATCCTGGTAGACTGTGGAAATCGACAATAAAAAAGATCTGGGGCCGAAATCTGGGGGAAGCAGAGGTAATAGAGCGGAACTTGGGCCTTTTCCTCCCTCTCCAAGGACTGCAGAGACCTCGCAAAAGGGCAGCCTAGAATCTTCTGACCAGAAATTCCCGCCCCGCCACAACGGGTATTTTTCCATCCATGATTCTTCGCAGCCACTTCTGCGAGGTTGAAAATGCGCAAACACCTCTAGGACCCCGAGTTCCTTTCTGTTTCTTTATGAATGAACCGGCTCTAGTCTGCGCAGGCGCAGCTCCCGGTTCTCCGGCTCCACGTGAGGCCCACCCTTCCCTCCCGCGGGCGGCCCCGCCCCCGTCCTTTCTAACGAGCCAATGGCGAGCGGCCTGGGGGGCGGAGCCCGGAGCGCGCGGCACTGTAGATCCCCCGGCGCCCGGCTCCCTCGCGTTAGTCTTGCTGTGTTGTGATCACGTGGCCAGCTCCGGGCGCGGCGCTTGTTTTGGTTTCCCTCTAGCAGGTCCCTGGCAGCTCCGGAGTGAGCGACTTTCCTGGGCCGGTTGCTGCGCCTGCCTCACCCCCTGATCTCCTCCTCCTGGGGCTCCTTCAGCCCGCAGCTCGGCAAGCCCCTCGGGGCCGGCTCCTGCCATGCCGCTAGTTCGCTACAGGAAGGTGGTCATCCTCGGGTACCGCTCTGTAGGTGAGTCTCCGCCTCGGGGAGAGCGCGGGCGCACCGCGGCTTTGTGGCCAGAGGAGGCGCGCTGTCGCGGGAACGCGACCCAGAGAGGAATGGTGGCATCGTTAGAACGGGGTTGTAGGGCGAGGACTGAAAGGATGGAGGAGGAAAGGCTGGGGTGGTGGCGGCGTGTGGAGGGCTTCATGAAGGAGGTAGGAGCGTGCAAGGGTTAACGCGGGCTTGGTTGCAGGAACACAGAGTGACCCCCAGCGTTGCCCTGGGAGGGGTGGGGATGGGGTCAGGATTTGATGCGGGGGGGGGGGGCGCGGTCTGTGTGGGGCCCGTCTCAGGTGTCCGGGTGCGGGGCAGACTTGATCCTAGGGGAATCCCGGATCTTCCCGGGGGTGGGGTGGGGAAAGGCGGCAGGAAAGGCTTCCTGCGGCGCTGCTGAATGCATCCGGTGGCTAGGGTGCAGAGACCCAAGGCGAAGAGAGAGTGAGGGTGGGCTAAGGAAAAACATTGCATGGCACCCGCAGGCTGGGGTGCTCATGTGGTCCTCTTTAGTCCTGGGCCACAGCCCGAAAGGACAGAGGATGTGAATGTGGTTGGATGATTTGGCTACAACTACCGCTGCTTCCCACAGGGAAGACATCTTTGGCACATCAGTTTGTGGAGGGCGAGTTCCTGGAAGGCTATGATCCTACAGTGGAGAACAGTGAGTAGATTTCTCGCCTAGGGGTGGGGCAGGGAGGTCTTTGTTGCCCCACCCAATTCCATAATTTGGGATTTTTCTGGTGCCAAGGGGCTGATTTAATTAGCCATTAGATCTAATCTCTTCTGTAGCAATCCTATTAGTGGAGCTAGAGTATGGATTTTGCAGGATACTGCGTCCAGGATGGTGTAGACTAGACGAAAAGAACCTTAACGTTGTCTCTCCAGCTGCCTGGAGAGCCCCCTGGAGCTGGTCCATCAGTGTCACCCCTAGGGTTCAGAACATATCGGGGCACACATTGCTAGCCCTACAAGGCAACTCACAGTCAAGTTTTCTTTTTCTTTTCAGCTTACAGCAAGATAGTGACTCTTGGCAAAGATGAGTTTCACCTACACCTGGTGGATACAGCAGGGCAGGTACCAGTTTGGGGTAGGGTATCTAAACTTGGGGTAGAGTATCTAAACGGGGCAGTCCAGTTGGGGGAGAGGAAGTCTGGTTGCCTCTGTGGCTCATCTGTAAAGTAGTATTAAAAGGAAAGCATCTTAGCAGCTGGTAACGTGCCGTGCACATGGGACTACTCTGTACTTGTCAAACGGAAATGACTGCAGGAGGAGGTGCCCCAGGGAGGGTCCCCAGGACGCAGCCCACCAGCCTTTTGGCATCTGAGCGCTGCGTGGTTAGTGTTGATGTTTGTGTTTCTCGTCAGGACGAGTACAGCATCCTGCCCTACTCCTTCATCATTGGGGTCCACGGTTATGTGCTTGTGTACTCTGTTACCTCTCTGCACAGGTAAGTGACCAACATTGAGGGGGGGGACTTGGGAGGATCTGAGGGCTGTCCCAGAATAAATTTATGGTTCTATTCCTTGTGTTTAAAGCTTCCAAGTCATCGCGAGCCTGTACCAAAAGCTACACGAAGGCCATGGGAAAACGCGGTAAGTGGCCCTGGGAAGCAGATACACAGTGTGGACATGACGGGACGGAAGAGAGTGGAGGGTCCAAGTTACAGAGGAGGCCAGCTCAGACTATCCGGCCTGCTGGGAGAATTGTCCAGCCCTGATGCGAGGGGAGTTGGGTTCCATGTGGAGCGGAGGGTATCCTGTAGTAACTGGTATTTCTTCACAGGCTGCCGGTGGTGCTAGTGGGGAACAAGGCCGATCTCTCTCCAGACAGGTAAGGAGATCTCTATGGCTCAAGGCAAAGGGAAGTGAGATGGACTAGTAGCCAGTCGGGTTCTAGTCCTGGCTCTGCCGCAGACTTGAACAAATTGTTTCACCTCCTTTCGCTTCTAACTTGAAGGTTAAGACAAGATAACCCTTCTATTGCAAAAGCTATACTTTCATATTTAGCCTCAATCTGAGACTTCTGGGTTCTCTTTTATTTTCTCCTTCCCCAACCCACCTCCCAAACCTTGGAAGTGGGTTGGGTCAGAAGAAGTCTATAGATTCTATATAATGATTTTGTAGAGAACATGGGGACATTGTTTTCCTCCATCTTCACATCCCCAATTTGCTTCTAGGGAGGTGCAGGCAGTTGAAGGGAAGAAGCTGGCAGAGTCCTGGGGTGCAACGTTTATGGAGTCATCTGCTCGAGAGAATCAGGTGCTTGGGCTGAAGATTAGGGGCAAGATCAGGGTAGCAGTGTTTTTCTTATGGCACTGCTTGGTGGTGGGGATGGTGGGGGAGTGGGGTTTACACCTCTGAGCTGGGTCGTATTGGCAATGAACTGACTTTTTTGCCCTGAATCTTTGTCCTTGCAGCTTACCCGAGGCATCTTCACCAAAGTCATACAGGAGATTGCCCGGGTAGAGAATTCCTATGGGCAAGAGCGCCGCTGCCAGCTCATGTGAGCCCTCAGGCATTGGGTAGCTGCCTTGATTCTGCCCCTGGCACTTGCCAGGCTCCAGCGGGTGTAGGCCCTTAGGACTTCACGGGTATGGTTGCCAGCTGTGTCCCCAGTCCTCTGGTCGCACAGTGTGGTACCCTCATGTTTGCACACTTTTCCAGGCTCCAGTGGCCTGGTTGTCAATGTTTACAATGGGGCAAGGATGTCTCATGGGCACTGGCCTCTAGTCCTCTGTTTTTGCTAAATGAATTGTTATAACTTGCAAGATTGGCATGAGTCCTAAGCATTGTTTATTTAGGACTCAGTCTTCTGTGCAGGTTTTGGGTGTTGGCTGGGTGAAGGGAGCTGGGGACTCCTGAAGTGGAGCTGGCTCCCTAGTGTGACAATGTATATATGCAAATAAACTGAGAAATCTTTTTGTCGTTGACTTCTGTATGTGGGGAATGCTTGGGGCCAGTATCTATTTTTCCAAGGAGTGGTGACTATGACTTTTGGTGGGGAATCAGGGCTCTTGCATTCTACCTCATTCCTATTCCTTACTCCTCACTCATTCAGGAGGACCATTATCCGAAGACTTACTACTTATTTTTTCCCACCTTTTTGCTAGGCTCTCCTATGCAGGTACCAGTTGGCTGCCACTCCCATCCAAGATTGTAGACTCAAGATCCCCTTAAGTACAGAAACACCACCCTCTAGTGGCCAGCTTCCACATGCTGACCTAGCTTCCCTCCTGGGGCTTTGGCATTCGCTGGCTGGCACTCAGAGAGGCTAAGGTTTGGGGAGGAAGGAAACTCCTCATCATAGGGATGTAATAACTGAGAAGGAGTGTAGAGGCAGGGACTAAAGTGTTGGTGAGGATTTTGGCTTTCGAAGAAAGAGAGTTGAGTAAAATAAGAAATAATGCCCCTGGTGTATATCAATCCTGCTCCCCATGTCCTCAGAGCCTTTCATTAAATGGATATTTGGTCTTTTCCTACCATTGGTGACCTCTTCATACCCTTTACATCTTTGGAATTGTGCCACTTTTTTAGGTGTCAAAAGGTATTGCTCCTCTTTTTTTTAAAGATTTATATTAGAGAGGATGAGAGTATGCCTGAGCCCAGGGAAGGGAGGGGCAGAGAAAGAGAGAGAAACTCAAGCAGATTCTGGGAGCTCTATCTCATGACCTTGAGGTCATGGCTAAAGCCAAAATTAAGAGCCGGCTGCTCAACTGACTGAGCCACCCAGGCACCCCTACTTCTATTCTTTCTTATTGACCAGCCATCCTAGTAGGAGGATAGACATTTCAGCTAGGAAGGATTGGTCCTATCTGCCTCGCCTTTTCCTGCTCACCCTCCACCCCCACCAGACCTAGGGCCTAATTGGCCTAATACCTCCTCTAAAGACCTATAAGGGTTGCTGGAATAGTGTATCCTTCATAGGGAGACACAGACTTCTCTTGCTACCTGAGGGAGCCTGAGGTGGGAGGATGGGGAGGATGGGCAAAGTCTTAGCTGTGACCTTGCCAGCGCCTCACTCTAGGCTAGTCGGGCTTACAGTTGGGGAGATTGTCATGCTGGTCTTCAAAAGTGCTGCCAGCTGCTTTTCCATATCTAACTAGAATGTAAAAAATAAGAGCTGTTGGAAGGGGCATTATCCAAACAGCAATCTCAGTAGTTTGGGATTCTCTTTAGGGTTGTCACCACCCTCTTTTTTCTTACATTAAAATCGGGTCCTTTTCCACATCTTACCTGAAATACTCATCATAGGCTATCTATTGCCCTGCTGCCATTTCCATGAGGTCTAAGACTTGTTTGAAATTTTCTAAAAGTGTATCAAGCAATCTTAAAGGCCTGATAGAAGAATGAATATTAGTTAATGGCTAGGTTGGAATACTTTTCCACTTAGCTGTGTGACCTTGTATAGTCCCTTACCCTCTCTAAGCCTCAGTTTCTTATTTATGAAGTATAGTTCAACCTTCAGAGTTGAGGTGAGAATTAAATTGAGGTGATATATGAAATGCTTAGAACAGTCAAACATAATAAACCCTTAAATGGTGGCTATAATGTTATTGGAGGTCTTTTTGGTGAAGGTCAGCCTCCTTGTTTCTGGGATGTAGAAGGTAGGGAGAGACCTAACATTTTCCAACTTTGTAAAAAGGTTTATTTTTGAAGATTTTATTTTAAAGTAATACCTATACCCAACTTAGGACCCAAACTTAATAATCCTGAGATAAACAATCACATGCTCTGACTGAGCCAAGCCAGGTATCCCTATTTTCCAACTCTTGTCTTGGTTAATTAATTAAAATATTTATTCATTCATGAGACACACACAGAGGCAGGGACACAGGCAGAGGGGGAAGCAGGCTCCTCGCAGGGAGCCTGATGCGGGACTTGATCCCAGATCCTGGGATCACGCCCTGAGCTGAAGGCAGATGCTCAACCGCTGAGCCACCCAGATGTTCCTTGTCTTGGTTATTCAGTATAGCTGAGACAGGTGTGGGGTCACTGCTGGACTTTTTGTTGAAATAAACCTGAATGGTCAGTGCAGGCAGGGTAGGTACGTGATGCTAGCATGGGCTAGCACGGGCTATTGCCTATTTCTGATCCCTCCTATGAACCTGGCTGGTAGGGATTTAGGTTTTCTGCACTGTCCAATATGGAGGCCACATATGGCTACTTAAGTTTTAGTATTAACGTTAAAAAGTTCCTCAGGTGCACCATCTACATTTCAAAGTGTTCAACAGCTACATGCAGCTAAGCCAAATTAGACAGTGTAGCTGTAGTGCATTTCCATTACCGCAGAAAATTCTATCGGACAACATTGTAAACCCTTTCCCACAAAGCCAGCCCCCGTCCCTGATTTGCCTCTTTCTCCACATCCTCCTTAAAATAATTTTATTATATATATATATATATATATATATATATATATATATATATATAATCCTAGGAAAAACATGGCCATTGCTTTGAATCATGGATGTCACTCGATGTGGTTCACTGGGAAATTTTACCTATTTCATTTTGCCTCGATCTCACCATCACAGACTTAATTCCACATAGTTCATAAAGAGGGTGAGGAGTAACTAAGAATGTATAAAGTATCTAGCACATAGTTAATTTGTCTCCTCCTGTTCGTCCGCGGTTACACAGCTGATGCAGAAAAGGCATTCCAGTCCCTTCTCACCCAGACTTTACGGGGGTCGATGGGGGAATGCCTGTAAGTAAGTAGTGTTTTGGGATGTTGGCTAGAGTAACAGCACTCCGGCCAGGTAGCAGGAGGGCTTCAAGGTACCTCCTCTCTGTTTACTAAAAAAGGGGACACAGGCCCTGGAGGTCCCGAGAGAACGACTGAGGGTGGGGGGGGGGGGGGAGCGGGAGCACCCGGGAAAGGAAACTCCACATTTATGTTTTGATGGGGGAGGTGCGTGTGGCGACTGTGGGGGCACGGACTCTTCTTTCCCCACGAGGGGGTTGCAGAGCCAGAAGGAACGGCTGGGGACTCGTCCCGCTCTCCTCTGGGCCCCCGAACGTGGCAAGAACCCACCCATTGCAGCGCCAGGCGCCGTGCCTCACTTTCTCCATTTGCGGACTCCAGTTCCCAGGATGCAGAGCAGCGGCCAATCTCCTGGCTCTTCTTCCATCCCCCTCCCGCGAAAGGCTGCCCCTGGCCAAGGCAAGGGGGCAGGTGGTTCCAGGGGCCGAGAACCGCGAGGGAACGGCACTAGAAAGTGGCCGGAGTCCTAGTTCCCGCAGCCGCGCGGAGAGGGAGGCAGGTCCAGGGCCGGGGCGCGGAGGAGGGGGGCTTCGTTCCCACGTGTCTGCCCCGCGGCCGGCCCGGCGCAGTCGGGGTTAACCCGGGGCGGAGGGATCCCGCAGCGTGTGCGTAGAACTGCAGAGTCACAACCTTTCCTCCGAGAGGGCCGTATCCCTCCGCCGCTCCGCTCCAACACAAAATAGGGCCGCGTCTTCTCCTTTCTCCGCTTCTCGAGTGGGGTTCCCCAGGCAAAAGGGCCCCCCGGATCTGGCGCCGGAGGCTTCCTGAATCTCCACGACCGCTGCCGAGCTCTTGGGCCAGGAAATAGCCCCTTCGCAGGAACCACCCTACCGGCCGAACAGGAGGCGGAGGGGGGGAGGCGGAGCGGCGCCGCGCTGCACTACTTTCCTCTCCGGTTGCAAATGGCTGCCTCGTTCCCCACTTTCCGCTCAGTTTCCTGACCCCCCGGTGCCGGGAGCCGGGGTTGGGCCATGCACCTCTAGGCCCCCCGCGATCACAGCCAGCCGGGGGTCGAGAGGGTGCCGCCGATCAGAGCCGGCCAGGCCGGGGGCGGGGCAGCTCCCGAGGCCAGAGGGGAAGGGAGGCGAGCGCAGGGCCTGGAGCGGCCGGAGGGGAGCGGGCAGAGGGCTCGCACCGCCCGCCCCTTCCTCTTCCTCGCCCACCTACCCTCCTCCCTTCCCCGGGGGGAGCAGAAGGTGGGGGGCTCGAAGCCTCGGAGGGCGAGCGCTCGGGGCCGAGGAGCCCGGCGTTGGGTGTGTGTCAGGTCCAGCCCCGCGGCCCCGCCGGCTCCGCGTCGCCGTAGCTCGCGCGGCCCCGGGGCGCCGGCCCGGGCGGGGAGAGGGGCTCGGCGCTCCAGCGAGGGTCTCACGTTCCATCCGGGCCCGGCGCGGGGCGGCGCGGCATTCCTTCCGGGCTGCTGGGGAGGCGCCTCGACGTTCCATCTGGAGAGCCTCGACGTTCCGCCCGAGCCCAGCGCGGGCGGCCGGGGCGCTGGCGCGGCCCTAGGACTGAGAGGCCGCCGGGCGACGCGGATGCGGAGCCTGCTTGCCCAAGATCAAAGCCACCGGTGCTCTCTTTGTGTCCGCTCGGGATTCGCCGCCCTCGGGCTGTCCATGGAAACCTAAACTGCTGGAACCCGAGGCAGAGAACCCTTCTTTGGCTTCTTGCTTTTTTTGGGGGGGGGAGGAGGGTGGCCACTCCGACCTGGATTTACCGTTCTTGGCCCCCTTAAGCCCCCCCGTGCGGGGGGCGGCTGTGATCGCTCTGGCGGTTGGAGGTCGGGGAGCGGCCCGGGCTCTGGCCATGTTCTCGGATGAGGATTTCTGGATCGCCCTGTGAAGAGGTGAGTGAAGTCTGCCCGGCCAGGGCCCAGAAAGGGTTGGACTGGGGGCATAGCCAGATGGACTATCTTGGCCGGAGCTGGCCTTTGGGTTGGAGAAAGGGGTGCCAGAGCTGAGGAGGGTTCCTTTGGCAGGGTCTGTCAAGGGAACCTGAGCCAGTCGCCGGGGCAGAACTGAGGCCTGGTGTCTGGGGTGTGCCTTTTTAAAGACTAGGGGTTCAGGGAACCACGGGA